TCGGCGGCGGCCGCTCGCTCCGGCCGCGGCCGCGCTCGCCTGGCGGGCGCGGGGCGACCCCGCAGGCCCACGGTGGAGGCACGGCATCCGACGCCCTGCGTGCCGACTGGGGCCCCCAGAGCTGCCCCCGGGGGGCCTCCGAGAGCGCTCCGAAGAGACCCCAAAGAGAATCCCTGAGGACTCTGACCCACATCAACGTCGTCGTCGTCGTCGTCGTCGTCGTCGTCGTCGTCGTCGTCGTCGTCCCCCTTCAGGGTCGGCGGCACCGGCCGTGAGGCCTTCGCAATGCGCACCTTGCACGTTGATTCCCCAAACAGGTGAACAGTTTGGGGTGCTGCTGTGTTTAAAGCGAGAGGGGCCCCCGCAACGACGCATCCTCAAAAATGGGTTGGTCCATGCCTTTTTGCCTGAGACACCCTCGCAACTCTCGTTCCCGAGTTGGCCGGGGTTGGGCCCGAATTGGGCGTTTCACTTGAAACAGCATCGCAACTCTGAGCTACGAGGTAGCGCGCGAGAAGTTGTCCAGCACGGTTCGTTTGAGACATTCTTGCAAAAATGAGCTCCGAGGTGCCGCGCGAGAGATAGTCCATCGGGTTTCGCCTGAGAGATCCTTGCAACACTGAGCTCCGAGATGCAGCGCGAGAGGTGGTCCATCGGGTTTCGCCTGAGAGATCCTTGCAACTCTGAGCTCCGAGAGGCCGCGCGAGAGGCGGTCTGGCGCGTTTCGCCCGTGACATCGTCGCAACTCTGGGCTCCGAGGTGCCACGCAACTCTGGGCTCCGAGTGCGGCGCGTCTCGCCTGCCGTCGCAGCAACTCTGGACTTTGAGATGCCGCGCGCGAGGTTTTCTGGCGCATTGCACGTGATATACCTTCGCAAGTCTGAGCTCCGAGATGCTCTGCGAGAGGTACTCTAGAGGCAGCGCGCGCACGTCTCGCGTGAGACGTCCTCACACTTCCGCGCTTCGAAATGCCGTGCGATAAGTGGTCCGGCCCGCTTGGCCTGAGACAGCCTCGCAACTCGAAGTTCCAAACTGTCGCGCTCGAGGTGGTCCGGACCGTGTCGCCCGAAGCGCCCTCGCCACTCCGGGCTCCGAGGTGCAGCGCGCTGGAGGTGGTCCGGCCTGTTTCGCTCGAGACATCCTCGCTGAGATCCGAGTGTCGCACGCGAGATGATCCAGCCTGTTTGGGCTGAGTCATCCTTGCAACTGTGGGCTCCGAGATGCCGCGCGCGACGTGGTCTGGCCCGTCTCGCCGGAGACAGCATCGCGACTCTGAGTTCCGAGATGCCGCGCGAGAGGCGGTCCAGCCCGTTTCACATGAGACATCATTGCACCTCTTGGCTCCAGGATGCCGAGCGCGAGGTGGTCTAGCGCATTCGCCTGCCACCGCGCGCAAGGTAGTCTGGCCAATTTCGGCTGAGACATGTTCGCAACTCTGAACTCTGGGTAGATCCTGGCGCGCGTGGTGGTCTGGCGGGTTTCGCCTCGCCTGGGACATCCTCGCAACTCTGGGCTCCGAGGTGCCGCGCGCAAGATGGTCTGGCAAGCTTCGCCTGAAACACCCTCGAAACTCGGAACTCTTGAGGCGCTGCGCGCGAGGTGGTCCAGCCCGTTTCGCCTGAGCCGCGCGCGAGGTGGTCCGGCCTGCTTTGTTTGAGACATCCTCGCAACTCTGACTCCGAGATGCCGCGCACGGGGTGGTCCAGACTGTTTCGTCTGAGACTTTCTTGCAACTCTGGGCGCAAGTGCCGCACGCGAGGTGTTCCCACCCATTTCGCGTAAGACACCCTCGCAACTCTGAAGTCCGAGATGCCGCGCGAGAGATGGTCTTGCGCGTCTCAACGGAGACATTCTGCCGCAAGACGGCCAAGCCCGTTTCGCCTGAGACGCCCTCGCAAATCGGGGTTCCGAGATGCCGCGCGCGAGGTGTTGGTCTTTTTGCCTGAGACATCTTCGAAGAGGCAAGAGGGAACAGGGAGGGTCAGACCCGCAAAGACACTGTTGTTACATTTCTGGTGCCGGATTGTGCTCTGGGGGGGGTCTGGGCGCCTTTCAACTCTGCGAACCAGGATGTCACGTGCGAGGTGGTCCAGCGCGCTTCGCCACAAACATCCTTGCATTTCTGGGCTCGGAGATGCCGCGCGTGCAGTGCGATGAGGACGTCAAAGATAAGGAAGAGGAGCGCAATTCGGCAATTGACAAACTGTTTGGAGCCGATGCCACCACTCTCCAACACGCGTTGTGTTGCTACTGGGTATCTTCTCATAGAACGCCGACACAACACAGACACGATTCACCTTTGCCGTGCGCCTGTTCCCGAGCGGTTCTATGCAGGCGAAACCTAACGCACACTGGATACGACATATGGGTTATGACGTGGCCAGCATCAACGATGCCGCCGTCAGGCCTCGGCGGCAACCCTGAGCTGGGAATTACCCAGGCATGGCCTGCGAGACGCCTCCGAAGGCGGCACTGCTGTTGTTCCTCCCCTCCTCCACTTCCCCCGACGACCGCGACCCCGCCCCTTCCCGCCTCCCACACTGGACTCAGCTACAGCGCGCACCTTCTGATCCGCCTCGAAACGTGGGCACAGGAGAGTTGGAACTAGGACGCCTCGCTGGAGCAGCTCACGGGCCCGGGCGCTACTCGGGAGCCAGCTTTGGAACCTGCTGGGAGGCCTGGGACGCTTCGCTCTCGAGATTCCCGCAAGGAGCTGGGCCGATCTTCACTACTGCTGCGATCTCCTGGAGGACGGCTTCCAGAATCTGGACCGCTGGATTCGACGCTGGGGCCTCTGCGTCAAACTGGAACTGGATTTTGACCATCCCTTTCCCTTTGATCCTGTCCGAGCGAGGCCCCTGCGAGGCCCTGACTGTTAAGTGCTTCGCGTAAGTGTTCAAATGCTTGTGATCTGTGTTCGCGACGTGCGCATCCACAAACGCGTTCATGGGAGCCTCGGTCTCCCCCTATGCTGCCGTCTTGATTGCCATCGTGCGCATGCACCACACCAGTAGATATGGAGGCCCGAAGCTCCCCGCGTCGGTTGGAAGATGAGGATAAGGAGAAGCACGAGGAGGCGGAATAGCATAAGGAAACTGAAGATGATTCGTACGAGGAGGGGGGCGATGCGAAGGCGGAGGATCACGATGGGGGGGGATGACGAGGAGGAGCGGGAGGAAGAGAGGAGGGGGGGAGGATGATGAGAGGGAGGTGTAGTGGAAGGGGGAGGGCGAGGGTGCTGACGCGGATGCACAAATATGCGGAGGAGGGGGAGGGCGACGACAACGACGATAACGAAACGACGACGCCAACTGGGCAGGCCAATCAATAGTAGGACGCGCGACCAGTCTGGAGAGTCGCCTTGGCTTACACAAAACACGGTTCGGGGATGCTGGACTCTGGCTCACGTTCTCCATGTTCCTATGTCTCTGCGTTCATTTACCATCATAAATCGTATAATTTATATGGTATCTTATACTCACTTATCGTATACAATATGGTGCTACATCCACATATATTATCGTGTCTTAACTTAGGTTATCTCAGTTTACGTTACATGGTCGTATATTGTATTGCCGTATGATGTCGTATCGACCTTACCCTATGATGCCGTATGATGCCGTATGATGCCGTATGATGTTAGTATAGTTTCATATACAATCGTATACGACCTTGTATGATAGCATGTGTGCAGCGATCTATCTGTCTATAAAATAAGCATGTGTTTACGAGCCTGCTTCGGCACAACCCGAATAGCTTCACGCTCTGAGGGCCTTTCCAGCCTCACGCCGCGCGCTGTCCCTTCCTCCTGTCGTCTGGTCATCCCTTTTCTCCTGTACTGCAATTGTATAATCGCTTGTGCCGAAGCGTAGCTCGCCCACAGCTCGGATCCAAGACGCCCCCGCGCCCCCAACTCAATAGATGGGCGGGCTACGCTACGATGTGTCGATCTGCCGACTCGCCGGAATCCTGCGCACGCTGGCGATGCCAACCAACATTGAATCGGAGATAGGGGGGTGCGTTGAAGTATGCGCTGGCACACTGGTCGTGCGGGTGGTGCAGGATTTGGTCCAACTGCCAAACGTTTTGGGGGGGGTGCGAGTTCAGAGGGGGGAGGCATCGACCTGGACTTTCGAGGCTCGAGGTCTCCGGACGCCTTCGCTGGTTCTCGGCAGCGCCTCGCCGAGAGCGCCACGGGGGATTCCCAGATCCTCCCGAACGGCCGCCAGAGGTGCGAGGTATGGCCCGAGAAAGGTCCAGGGGACTGGCTCAGGGGGGGGGGAGCATGGAGCTGGAACTGGCGATACATCGCCGATAGACCGCCGACAGGCCCCCGAGAGTGACGCCGCACGTTCCTGGTAGGGGGTGGGCCATCGGGACCTCATCGGCGATGAGTGCGCGATTGGGGTGGGTACGCCCTCCTGACAAGTGTGATAAACAAAAAACGCTGTGATTAAGAAAGACACGTGCCAGGACAAAAGCAAAAGTTCGTTGTTGCTACCATACTTGCTTTGTTTCTCATCACGCTTGCTCTTTTTTATATATCACACTTGTTTCTTTGTATCACAGGAGGAGGAGGAGGAGGAGGAGGAGGAGGAGGAGGCACTTGCCCTTTGTCACTCTGGGGTGGGCGCGCCCCGTCCCCGCTGCTCTGCGGGCCACCCCTCGGGCCTCCGACGACCGCCTTTCGAGGCACGCGCCGGGGGCACCCCATGGCACGCTCTTCCTCGGCCGGGCGCGGCGGCCGGGAAGCAGGAGCCAGGCCAGGACGGCGCCAGGAGCCGGCGACGACTTCAGGACAGCGGGCTTGATCCTCGCCCCCCCCCCGCTGAGCCCACGCCCTCCCTTGTCGCTGCCCCATGCGATGTGTGTATGTGTGTGTGTGTGTGTGTGTGTGTGGGTGTGTGTGTGTGGGTGTGTGTGTGTGTGTGTGTGTGTGTGTGTGTGGGTGTGTTTGCGTACGTGTGTGTGTGTATGTGTGAGGGCGGCCGCCCGCCGCCTCACACGTCGAAGACCGAGTTCATGGACTGGCTGAAGGTCGTGGCAGAGTTGTCCTCGCTCGCAGAAGAGGGAGGTGCGAACACGAAGAGATGGAGGACGGGGGGCCGATGGGATGGAGGGGGTGGTCGAGGGGGCTGGACAGGAGGGGGGGGAGAGGGGGGAGGGACGAGGGAGGGAGGTCGGAGGGGGAAGGCGGGGGCGAGGGGGGGAGCTGATAGAATTGGCAGAAGGTCGTGGCAGAACTGCCCGAAATCCTCGAATCCGGGCATCGCAACTGCTCCGCAGCGGGCGTGTCCGTCCGGCTTCGGCCCCCAGGACTATCACACATCGAATTCGAAACATGCCGCGCCAAATCATTAGGTCTAGGGCACCGGTCGTGATTTCCCCAACCGTCCTGTGCGTCGAGCTTTCGTTTTGAATACAGCACTGTGGTCTCCATCCTCCCCCTCCCCCGCTTCCTCGTCCGCCCCGTCCTCCTCCTCCTCCTCCTCCTCCTCCTCGTCCTCCTCCTCCTCCTCCTCCTCCTCCTCCTCCTTCTCCTCCTCCTCCTGTTCCTCCTACTCCTCTTCCTCACCTCCTCCTCCACCTCCTCATCCTCCTCCTCCTTTTCCCTCCTCCCTCCTGCCTCTTGCCTCCCTTGCTCGTGCCCATCCTACCGAAGGGCTGCGAACTGCGCAGGTGTCGCCCCTCTTCGGAGGCTCCTGGGACACCCAACGGGAGCGGCAAGCGCGCAAGATGTCGGGGTTCTCTGGGAAGCTGTCACTTCCGCAAATGTCGCCACCTTCGTGGGCTCCTGGGACGTCCAGCGGAGGGGGGCGGCTCCCTGGGGTGTCGCGAACTGCGCAAGTGTCGACACTTTCGTGGGCTCCTGGGAAGTCCAACGGAGGCGACAGGGACGCGAAACTTCGCGGTTGCTTTGGGAGGCCGCGAACTGCACGAATGTCGCCACTTTCGCTGGCGCCTGGGAGGTCCAGCGGAGCTGGCGGCACGCGAGATCTCGGGACTCCCTGGGAAGCTGTCGACTCTGCAAGTGTCGCCACTCTTCGGGGGTTCCTGGGACGCCCATCGGAAGCGGTAGGCACGCGAGATGTGGGGGATCCCTGGGAAGTTGTCATTCCCGCAAATGTCGCCACTTTCGTGGGTTCCTGTGACGTCCAGCGGAGGGGGGCGGCTCCGTGGGCGTCGCGAGCTGCGCAACTGTCGACGCTTTCCTGGGCTCCTGGGAGGCCCAGCAGAGGCGGCAGACACGCGAGACTTCGCGGCTGCTTTGGGAGGCCGCGAACTGCATGAATGTCGCCACGTTCGTGGGCTCCTGGGAGGTCCAGCGGAGGCAGTGGGCAAGCGAAACCTCGCGGCTCCGTGGCAGGCTGCCGACTGCGCAATCGCCACTTTCGCTGGCCCCTGGGAGGTCCAGCGCCCAGCGAAGGCGGTCGGCAGGCGAGACCGACCTCGCGGTTCATGTGGGAGGCTGCGAGCTGCACAGATGTCGCCACGTCGCCGCTGTCGCGGGCTCCTGGACATCCCACCGGAATAGATTGTCCTCGCACCATGTTGTTTTCGTATGGGACGTTCGCACAGAAAGGCTCGACCGAAAGAAACCTCCCACAAAAAACCCAAACCGTAGACCCCAGGGCGACCATGGATCCGCGGCGTGGAACGTCAGGCTTTCCAATGCAAAACCATCGAAATCCAAGAAACCCAAGGCACCCTGGAGGCGAGCAGGGTGTTTCTTGGCATGGGTCTCCACTGTAGAACTATCGCCTCGCGGTGAGAAGGGGTTGGGCACGTGTCGGGAAATGTCGCGGCGTCGGATATCAGAGGGATCGCCTAGCCGAGACCCAACGTATGGACAAATTCCACGCGGATGCTTTTCGTAGTTTTCGGCGTCCAGGGGCCATCGCCGGGCCCTGGGACAACCAAAAAACCGACTCTGGATGGCAAGCCGACCCCGGGGACAAGGTCGGAATGGGAATCGGAATCGGCCTTGCCAGGGTGAGCCGCGAGGGCCCCGCAAATTGACACCTAAGCGCCAACCACATGGGAAACATGTGAAACGCGACGCCTCACTGGCAGCACGGCAGCTGGGTAGAGGAGGAAGAGGAGCAGCAGCAGGAGGACGAAGACGGGGAGGGCAACGACAACAACAGTCGACTCCCAGCATGTCTTTCAGACTTGCTCTATGTTCATGAACATGTGTCTTGACATGTGCCAACATCTAGTCCAACTATATTTTCTTCTGCCGCCCTTGTCGTCGATGTGCGTGGTGGAAACAAAATTGGTCCGGATGCCATGTCAAGACAATATCCGCCCATTCTGTCCCAGGAGGACAGGCAATGCGGGAGACCCATCTCTCGCGTCGCCGCTGGACTTCTGTAGCCCAATCCGCGGCGCCCAGCTTTGCAAGCCGATGTTCGGCTTACCGCGTCGAGCGACGTATCCTATCGACACATGGTTCCAAATCGATATCCAGCATCGACAGCATCATCGGCACTGTGGTCGACGGGAAAAATGAGTGGATGCTACATCGTTTCCTGATGGCAGCAACAACCAAGGCGAGAGGTTGCATGGGGGCATGTGCAATATCATCATGTACCGGGTCCGTCACTGGCACGACGTGCGCTGTGCGTTCTAGGCGGCGTCGTGGCACTTGGACAATCATGCGCAACATCGGCCTTCGAGTGCGACGAAGCCGTCCCGCGACATCTACCGTGGGGGCCCTGTCTTCGCATCTGTAGAGAACTGTCGGGGTTACACAGGCGTGGAAGGGTTCCAAGCGACTTGCCAAGGAATGCGTTTCAGAAATGACCTCTTGTTTGCGAGTGTGGAATTTCCGCCATCCAGTCATGATGCGTTCCTCCACCTCGCTCGGCCATGCTCGCGGCGCTGAACTGCAATTTCCTGCCTGGGTACGTGGCTGACTTATACCCCAATAACACTTCGATCGTCGCGTCGCCGACGGTCGCAGCACTTTCAAGCTGTTGACACCGTGGATCAGGATATCCATCACATAAGATTTTGGTTCCGCCTGGGTGAAGTTGTAGTCACACGACTGCGGCGCCAGCCGAGAATCATGATCTTGACCTGCGATAAGGATGTCGCTGGCATGAAGATCGTACCAGCAAAACGTAGATTGGTCAGCCTCTCACCAACTAGGCGAATCGGAAACCTATTGATGACGCCCGCCAGTGTAACTTTGCTTTGCGTAATCTTGATTCTCATACAACGTTAAATAATACAGAACTAATCGGGCCGCCTTGTTTGACGCCGCGTTGCATGCTATACTTTTTGTTGGATATGTCTGTTCTCACAGCCCCAGACTGCTCCTGGCATGACTTGGCGAGGACGTCAATGTAGCACGGTGGAACACTCTGGCTGTGTAATGCAGCCCCAATGTTCACATGCGTGACGCTGTCGAACGTCTTCTTGACACCGGCTGCCACAATATAGAATGGTATGTGCCAGCCCTCTGCAACTTCCTGAAGCAACGCGGTGGTGAACAGATGACGTGTCGTACTGCGCCGCGGTCTGACACCAGCTTGGTCTTCACACTGTAGGTTGTCAAATGCCAGCGGCAATCTACTGCATAACAATCGGGAGTACTTTGTATACTACCGGCATTTTTGTTATAGGGCGGTCCTTGTTCGGCAACTGGGGGCCACCACTTTTACGAAGCACCGTGGTAACACTATGCTGCCAACTTGCCGGCGTGGACGCGTCTGGCTCAATGACGTTGTTGTACAAGTCGAGCAAACACCGTCGAAATAGACCACCGCCATGTTTCAGCATCTCTGCCACTATGCCCCGTTGATCTGCTGCCTTTTGGCTCTTAACCCTGCGTAAAACAATGTAAATCTAGCGTGCTTGAGACCGAATTGGTATCATGTTGGCATGGATTGCCACTAGTATGAACATCTCGTAAATGCCGGGTGGAAGTCAGCGAACACGTTTACAGTATCCTGCCGGTCACGACCTACATTCCCACTTTAGGATGCCACTTGCGTGATGAACTCTCTGTGCTAGTTGAACTTCATGCCGAAGATGCTCTTGAGACCCTGGAGCTTCTGGATAATGTCGTTGATAACACGGGTCTCCTTTTTGCTCTACTTGCTCAAATGCCGCCGCGTACACAAGTCTGCCACAGGCGCATCACGACGTCTTTGCATCAGCGCACGCACGGCTTCAGATGCAGATCTGCTCTGGCGTCCGGTCTCCTCTCCTCGGGACGCATGTTGGAATGCATCTCTGAGCTGTTCTTGTATAATTTCGCAAGTCATGTTGAGACGGGTGTACGCGCGCACCTGCTTCAAGCGATCTGTGAGCGTGTTCACACAACTGTCGATACTACATGGTGGCCACTGTTGGAGGTTGTTCTTGGATGGCCAGGGTGCCCCAAGAAGCCCTCAAGAGGCCCCCAAGAGGCCACCAAGAGGCTCCCAAGAGACCCCCAAGAGGCCACCCAGAGGCACCAAAGACGCCCCCAGAGGCTTCGGCGAGAAAGCCCAAACCATTGATGTTACTAAGGTTTTGGCCACATGTTAACCTTCTGGGGGGGGTCCTAAGAAGGCCACCTCCTTTGCTCGAACTCTCTTACGATAGCCCCAGGATGGCCCCCGAGGCTCTCAAGATGGCCCCAAGACGGCCTCAAGAGGTGCCCAGGAGGCATCAAGAGGCCTCCACGATGCCCGAAGATGCCCCCGAGAGGCTTCCAAGAGAACCCCAAGAGGCTCCAAGAAGCCCCCCCAGAGGCACCCAAGACGCCCCAAGAGGCCGCTGGGACTGCCAAGAACCCACAAGACGCTCCAAGAGGACTCCAAGAAACTGTCGACGGAAATCCGAAGAGACTCCTCCTCCTCTCCTCACCCGCCTGTTCCTCCTCCTTCCTTGTCCCTCCTCCCCCCTTCTCCTCTCCCAATTTACTTTTCCTTCTCCTGCTCCTCCTCCGATTCCTCTTTCATCCTCCCCCTCTTGGGGTACGTCTTGCCAAACCCTGTTTCTCACTGCATTCTACTTCACATCCCTTGATCAGGGCAATTCGTCTTGGCATCGTGTCTGGATGGGTTAGTGGGGTTGCGCGAAGCGTCTAGAACTTCACGACATCGTGGTTCAATACTTTCCATTGCCATCAGTGCTTTCGTGGGGCAAGTCGTGACCGTCGATCCGTACATGTTTATTTGCTACATGGCGAGCCCCAGATGGATGGGGCGATGCAACCGCCCAGTGGGCCACACGCGGGCGGAACTCCCTCATCCGACACGATCCACGCGACGGGTGTGCCAAATTGCGCGTGGCGGCGCCAAGCGAACCCGCCCATTGGGGCCGTAGGTGGAATGCATTGCGGGGCCGGGTCCGTGCAAGACGTGCCGAAGCAACACCAGCGGCAGCAGCGGCATGAAAAGGAGGGGAAGGTTTGGAGGTTGGAGGAGGGTGTTGCATAGAGGGCGTGGTGCCAATCGTGGGAATTGCGATGCCATTTACGACAGACAGCATCGCCTGTTATTCACGACAGACAACATCGCCAGATTCAGCATTGGCACCACGCCCCTTTACACCACACCCCTTTTCCTACCTCCAGAGAAAGGGGATGAGGGACAGAAGGAGGGAAACGTGCGGTGGTGGTGTGGAGAAACAGTGAACTCGAGAACGCACGAGGGTTGGGGAAGAAACGCAGAATTCGCTGAATCCCTGTAGACCCCTTCATCTCTGAGACGAAGCTGACCAGTACGAGATCGGGCCGGGTCGAATCGGGGATCTCTCAGATCCCGCAGCTCTGGAAGACTTCGCTGCGGTCGTGCCAGCGTGCTCTGGAATGCTCTGAGAGCGTTCCTGAACGCTCGGGCACGATCTATCCTAGGGCGACGAGATCTATGCATATCCACTGCTCCTGGCCAGGCCAATCCTGGGCCCAGGAGCGGTGTATACGCCCTCCTGGCCTGGCCAGGGAGGCATATACACAGCTCCTGGGCCCAGGATGGGCCTGGCCAGGAGCAGTGGATATGTATAGATCTCGTCGCCCTATATCCCAGTCCTGGCCCCGCCCCGTCCCAGTCGGGCCACAGAAAAAATGCCGCTGCTCTCCGGGGCCTCTCACGGGGTGCTCTCCAGCCAGGATTCCGGTGAGGATCCAGCCGGGGCGGCACGGGCTCTCCGGGGCGAGCCGCGGCATCGATGCCTGCTCCTCTGAAGATTTGCTGGCCCCCCTTAGCGCTGTCCCCCGTTGAGATAAACTCGAGAGGTGTCGGCACGCACAAAGGTTTTTGACACCGCGTCGATCCTTCGACCTTGAACCGATCGCGGCCCGAAGCTTTCGAAATTGAGCTCCGTCGGGTCCCGTGGGGGTCACCGTGCCCCTCAGCGCTTCCGCGTCGTTCTATCGCGCGGAGCTCAACCTCGAACGCCTCCGCTGGAATCGCTGGCGGGCCATCGCCGCGTGAAACGGCCGCACCGCGTCGCGCGGGCCCCGAGGGCAGCGGGGTCCCGCCCCCCGCCCCCGCTGGCGCCTCGCCGACAAACATCAGAGTGTGCCGTCCGACGGCGATCACCTCTCGGGCGCCGAGGGCGAGCCGCGGGACGCCGCGGGGCGCCGCGGCGAGGTCCACGGCGGCGTGGGAGGGAGGTCCGAGCAGCAGCCCACGAAGGCAGCCTCTGCACGTATAGCGGGGGATACGCCGACCCCTAGGACTGACTACCTACCAGACCACCCCAACCCAACCCGAAGACCCGAATTTCGGGTTGGGGGGGGAAGGGTTCCACATGTGTTTTTTCGATGTTTCCCGAACCCCCCCCACTGGAAATCGAGGGTAAATCTGAGCCTTCGGGTTGGGTTGGGGTGGTTTGGTGGGTGGTGAAGGACAGGTCTCCCGTCGCGGCGCGGCAGAGGCCCTCGCCGACACCTATCACAGAATCTTGGGAGGTCTCCGAATGGATCCGAGAGTGTGGGCCCAGCCCTGGGATATACGATTGGGGGGGCGCCCAGCCTCGACAGGGGGTGCGTCCGGATGGCCCCCTCGGGGTGTATCCCAAGGGTTCCCCACTGTCTGGCAGGCCAAACTTTCTTCGGGCGGAACTCGGGGATTTGGGGAGGAACACTGCCTGCAAGAGCGCAATCTCCACACGCAAGCGCAATTGAACATGTCCAACATGTCCCGTCCCGTCGAACATGTCCAACATGTCCCGCCCCGTCCCAGCATGCAATTGAACATGTCCAACATGTCGGGGAATCCAACATGTCCCGTCCCGCCGCTGTCCGCGGCGGATCCGTGTCGAATCCATGTCGGACTCGTCGAACCCACGTCGAATCGACGTCGAATCCGCGTCGAGTCCGCGTCAGACCCGCGTCGAATCTGCGTCAAGGCCGCGTCGGGCACAGAGACAAAAAGAAACCGTTTGAGAACAGACAGGGTCCCCAAACGATGCAACGTAACACGAGGCAATTCCAGAGGTAGGACGGCGCCAGGACTGGCCAGAGGGAGGACGGAGCCAGGACACAAATCGGGTACCTCTGAGATCCGCCAGCTCTAGAGAGAACACATCGGGCGCCGCGGCCGGAACGCTCCGGAGAGCGCTGTACACCAGTCCAGGCCCAGCCCGAGAGTGGGCAGGGGGCGCGAGGTGTCAGAGGATCTGTTTGGACTCCCGAAGTGGGTATGGAAAAACAAGTGAATGCACAACAAGAAGTGGTGTTCAAAACCGACGGCGGCCGCTGTCGGGCAGGCGGCTTTTTTCTTCAATGAACGCGGCGCGGACAGCGACTCCTGTTCAACATGAGCAGGAACGGCTGTTGGGCATCGTGCCCATTCTTTCCGTTCCCATTTCGATCGTCCCGAATCTGGTTTGGACCAAGGTGGCCCCATCATGCCCCAGGTGCGAGATGGCCTCGGGGAGGGCACAAAGAGGTCCAAAGACATTTGGCCTCCTGCGTGCTGCCCCGCGAGGCCCCCCCAGAAGCTGGCCCCCGGAGTGGCCGCGGAGCCTCCCAAGGATGCCCCAAGAGGCCAGACAGGTCGGTGAAAGGCCCAAAGCTGTTCGATGATAGGTGCCTTCCCGGCTGCTCCTTTCCGATCGGCCTTCAGACCCTCTGGATGGCCCCTGACGGCCTCAAGGAGGGAATATAAGAGCCCCGAAGCGATGCCCCACGACGCCAGAGGTCGGCCGACGGCCCGAAGCTGCTTGATGATATGTGCCTCCTCGCTGCTCCTTTGATCGGCCTTGAGGCCCTCAGAGAGGCCCCTAACGGCCTCAAGGACGGATGATGAGAGCCCCGAGAGCCCCGAGAAGCATCCCGACGGGCGCTCCACGGAGGCGGCCGGAGGCGACTCGTAGGACTCTGACGGGGGAGAGCCCTGAGCCCGGCAGCCCTACGGGCGTAGGTGGTCGAACGAGTCGGCAAGCCAATGCTTCCAAAACAACATCGCTCCCTTCGGGGAGGGATCTATCACTGTGCTCCATGCTGTTGACGCACCCTTCAACGCTCGACAGGAAGCCGGCCAGGAACCATGAGCACGCACGCACACACACGCACACCTGATCCTAATCGAAAGCCATGCTAATTCACATGGCGGCGAAATCTGGATCATGAGCGGGGGAGCCGTGCTTGCCCTTGGCATCCGAATCAGAAACCAATGCAAAATCACTATGCGTAAATACACACCCCATACACCATGCTGTCTGACCGACCGCACAGTTGCACACGCTTTTGACAGGGATGGAGAGGGTGTCGACATATGGCCCAATGTGTTCTGTCACCTGCGCCCACGCACCTGGCGCACCCTGCGTGCGTCGCGCACTCGGCGCGCCTCGAGCAACATGTTTCAAAAGAAAGTGCCGAAGGAACCACTCTCTCAGATAGCACTTCGCAAATGAAACAGCACGATTTCACTTGTTTACCCAAGTGTTCCTTCTATCTGGAAAACTGCGGGAGACCCGCGGTCGCTAATGCGTGCTCGCGGCGATTGCAATCCATCGCCCTTGCGAGATGCCGTTGCAACCCACACTGTGAAATCGGAAGAGACGAACCGTATGCGTCTCATCACGTTGGGCCACCAATCAACTGCATGCATACTGAAATGTCACGAGCAAACCGGGGGGAACAACAATAAATGCTCCGCACCTGCGTACCAAAGCGTACAACATTACGGCATTAAGTTTCCACCCAAGGCCACAACACACACGCTAGAACGGCCTGAAATGCCGGACACCTACTGGCTCTACTGCGTAAGATCGGGGAACCGAAAAATCGCTGGCATCTGACATCACAGTGTACCAGCACATGATATATATATATATACATATATATATATATATGTATGTGCCGCTTCGATCTCGCGGCCAACGACTTTCCACTACCACCCGCAAGCCCTTGCCAACACCTCATGTGCCCAATGGGTGTTGGAAACACATGCATTCAAAAATGAGAAATACTCCGTCTGTGGGACCCCACATGAAAATCTATTTAACATGCCCGTCGCGTTTTCCCATTCGCCAGTAGCAAATTCGCCGAGAATTATGAGGAGCCCAAGTTTACCCCACGGGGGAGCCCAAACATGACGACGGTAACAAGTCTGCCGACGACCAGGTCGGCGTACAAGACTCGGATTGCCAACATGAAGTGCGAGCCCCACAGGGAGGGGTGGCCCTAAGGCCCAGTGGCAGGCCAGCGGCGAAACGACCTCCCAATAGATGGGCGACCTTTTCCGAACGCGAGCTGGAGACGCCCCCGCGATCCACTCCTGAATGAGGCTCCCGCTCGGTACTTCCCCCATAGCGACGACGCCTACGTCAATTTGATGACCCGCTCGGATTACTAACATGAGCTGTGGCCCCAAAAAAGGGGGGCTCCCGCCTGAAATTCGTCGCAAATCACTCGCAGACGAGGCTCCCGCTGGATACTTTCCCCTATATTCAAGCCTGAGGAACCCAAAAATGACAAATACGGATGACCCGCTCGGATAGCTAACATGAGCTGCGGGCCCCATAGGGAGAGGGCTCCCGCCTGAGACTTCTTCACAATTCACTCACAGACAAGGCTCCCGCTAAATACTTCCTCCATACACAACTGATGATCCCAAGAGAGACGACAATTACAAGTTTATGGATGACCATCTCGGATTCACAACCTGAACGGCGGGCCCCATAGGATGGGGGCTCCCGCCTGCGACGTCCTTGCAATTCGCTCACTGGCGAAACTCCCGCTTCATACTTCCTCCAGGTTCAAACCTGAGGAACTCAAACGAAGACGACAACTACAAGTGAGTGTATGACCCGCTCGGATTGCTAACATGAGCTGCTGGCCCCATAGGGAGGGGGCTCCCACCCGAGACTTCGTCGCAATTCGCTCACAGGACGAGACTCCTGCTCGAGACGTCCTCGACATGAGCGTGTGTGAGAGAGTGAATGGAGGAATGAGTGCATTGCTGATTGTGCTGGTGCTGATTAGGGTGATGGCGATTGTGGTGGTAAAGCTGACAAACGATGGCCGATGATCATGATAGAGGAGGTGATGCTGATGATGGTGATGCTCGGTGGTGCGTTAGTGACGATGATGACGATGACGATGAATGGCGAGTAAAGTGATGACTGACTCCGTCAAAGAGTTATGAGTCAGTGAACGAGTACAGATGATGATGCTTATGTAGATGTAGATGCTGGTGCTGATGATTATGATGATGCAAATGATGATGGTGATGCTGATTATGATGCTGATGATGATGATGGTGGCGATGATGATGATTCTTATTATTCTACCGGTGATGATGAGGATGATGATCACGATCATGTTGGGATGGTGGTAGTGGTAATGATGACGATGGTGGATGTTGGTAGTGATGCTGAAGGTGATGGTAATCGTGGTGAGTGTAATCTGGGATGATGAAGGGAGGAGGTGGGTGATAGGACTGCGCGGGGTGTCCAGAGAAAACATGAACCCCACTTAGGATGCGGGGAGCCAAGTACCACAGCGCAGCCTACAGGCTCTCAAACACGTTTGCTGGGCCTAGCTCGCATGTGCCGAAGCCTTTGACAAACCACCATCTCGACATGGACAGCTATCAGAAATGCGTTAATTCCATCATGGAAGTCTCAACTACACGTTACAACTGGTTGACTGAAGCATACCATCATACCCCATCGGGCAACATCTACACTCACAACTGGAATCACCAACCATACATGCGAGCATGAGCTTAAAACTGCCATCAACGAACGCACTGGATTCAATTTCATCTGAGATGGGCATGCCAATCGGCAAGTGTTGTAATGAGTTCCAGACATAACGTTACATGGTATCGTTGGATATTCCCAATCCTGCCTTGGAACAGGTCTGTGCAGGACCCGTCCAACGATGAATGCACAAATAATGTAACACGACTCTGCGCAGTCGTTCGACGCATCGAGGGCCACTTGAAGGCCACAGAGCAAAGCCAATATGCAAATAAATCGCGCGCACCAGCACGGCCCAAACTCGGCGATCGTGGCACCGGGTGGGAGATGCTGGCGCCAAGCCAACACATTTAGCGATGAGATGTAGTCGAACCCAGCACACAAT